TAAGTCTTACCAAAATTTTTAATTTTAACAAGTCTTTGATATTTTTGAACTTGAAATTCTATATGTAAATATTTAAAATGTATATATGTAAATCTAAAATTATATTAATAATAACAAAATTTACTATTTTGCAACAAAAGTTGTTAATAATTTTAAAAATATAACAGTGAACTCAAAAAGTTTTAAGTATAGAACACATAATATTACCTCATAATACTATTGTGACGGAGTTTTAGGTACACTCAATGAAAACAATTTCGACTAAAAAAATTAATATTACAAAATATAAATACATACGTAGGTAACTTATGTTACACAATAATAAGTTCTACGTAGAATATGATACATTATATTGTATGCAAACTTAGAAACAATGAAACAATTAGGTAAGTAGACGGTAGACAGTTAATAGAACTGCCAAACGGATAGGCTTAGTGTTAACTTTGAAAAACTATAGTTGGTAATCTGGTACATTAAAGAGAAAGTCATAAAAAAAACAGAAGATTTATTGAGAAGCTTTAATAATAAATTAATGAAATAATTCAAATAGGATACATGATAATATTAAAATATTTATATGTCAACCACGCTTATCTAACTTATTATCTCTAGACCCTAAGGGTCAACTTAGTGATTGACTATTGAAAGACAATTAAAATTGAAATTAAGAATTCGGTTTAGATTCTAAGGCCGGCCGCACACCAAAAGAGTAAAACTATGTTAGTCATCGATAGACATTTCCGTTTTAGTCTATTTTTAACAAAACTGTGATAGGCTAACTAACACTGTTTAAAGCAGTTTTAATCTTTTGGTGTGCGGCCGGCCAGTAATAAACTCTCTAAATATATAATTTAATAATTTAAAAATCCAGCACATAATATTTTGTATATTCTACTCCTAAGTTTTCATTACATATTTTGTTTTATTAAATGTGATTTAAAAGATGTAAATTTTAGTTATTCGGTCACCTCTTATATTTGAATTGCCTGTTTGTATCCACAGCTAAATGTCTGGCTACAATTTATCATAATGACTGTAAAAGAGTGACATTTTAAGAGCATTTTCAATAAATCATGATGGGTCAAAGGTGAATCTACCTTAAAACAGAGAAAAATAGTATAAACTATAGAACGAATAACATAAAATATAAATGGTAAAATAATTCAAATTTCATCAAATTAAATTCTCCTATAACTTTAATTAGTTAATAAGATATTATCAAATTGGTTATTTTTTTTTTTTTTTTTTAATGAATATACCATTTACTAGAAATTTATAATTTGGTTCTGTAAATAAAAAGAGGTCAAAGTGTTTTTAATGTTTAAATTAAAAGTTATAAATAATTTTTACAATACAAAAAGTACCTAAAAAACTAAAAACTATTATTTAAATGAAAATGATACTGTGAATAATGAAGTGGGTTTTAGATAAACTTAAAAACTAAAGAATTAAATGGTAGCTTTTTTCTTCACAACTTACGGAAATAAACCTCCGATATTTTAACTTCTATTTTTAAATTTATGTAAACACTATGGGTTTGATTTTTATATTAAGATTAATTTATACAATTTCACTAATTTAGCTCATAAACTTAAAATATTTATACCTTTTAATAATACTACTGTTTAGTGTCTAATTAGTAAATAAATACATAATACAGATGCTGAGTAATGTTCAATTATTAAATAAATAATTAATTAATAATAATTTTAAAACATTTAAGTAACGTATTCTATTATTAAGATAACTTAGTATAATATGTTATACCTAAAGATTTTTAATTTTAATGTAAGATGCTTGTGTATACTGTATAGTCATGATTATACAAAATATTAATTTAACATTTTTTATCTCATTAGCGAACGTCTTACGCCAAATGTTTATAATAAGTAATCAATTAAATAAAATATGGAATATTTCATTTTTTTATTTTTTTTTATTTTGATATATCAAGATTTATATTAACAAAATCTTTTTTTTACATTAAACGACATAAATGTATCTATACTAAATCGTGCTCTGCTATAAGAATTGATAAATTACATTATTTATTATTACTTTTGTATTTATAAGTATTTAATTTATTTGTTTAAAATGTTAATAAAACTTTAATTTTCAATAAATTCTTTGTTTTCTGTCCACACTTTTCCTTTTATCAATGTGGTTTCATTCTTATTAAAAGTATATAATGAAATGTATCAAGTATATTATTGTGATATTTATAACTTAATTTTATTCACTGATAATAAATAAAAGTATTGAACAAATAAATAAATATTATGTACGTGTTTTAAGTAATATTATATAATACTAGTTATTATAGATATAATACTAGTTATTAAACATGTTCAATGGAATAAATTTTCAAAATTTTATTTACATCTACAGTAAAACTTTGGTATCTCGAAGTCGCAAGAGACAAAAAAAAAAAAATTCGACATATCGAAACTTCAAGTTACCGAGGGAATTTAAAACATAAATAAAATTTGAAATAACAATGTTTAATTATTGGGAAAAATATGTATTTATGATATAGAATGTATTTATATATTGTATATATCATCAGTATTCGTTATTTAGATAAGTATACATTATTTTCTATGAAAGTAGAAAATCTATCATTTTTATTTATTATTAGAAGTATTTTCAATAAAAATACCTGAAATTTTAAATGTATAAAAAATTTTGTCAAAAACTCCTAAATATTGTTGGACGTATATTTGAAGTTCATGAACTTTCAGCTTGGACACCATGTATAAAAGATTCAACAACAGCAATTTTTTCCTCATCGATTGCTTCATGGGCAGAATCTATCTTTAGCTCATTGAGAATATTAGATGTTTTAAAATTTTCTACATCGGTTAAACTTTCTGATATACTCAAAGTAGAATCAATGTCCAAAAAAAGTGCGTGTAATTTTATTACTGTTATCGGTCACCAGCTGAACTATAATTTAAATATCAACGTTATTACAACATATTGTGTATATAAGTTCTGTTATTTATCTTATATTTTATAGTCTGGGCAATAGATATTTTATATTTTATCTAATCTCTCATATTATATTCGAGTTAGTAAATCGTAATAGGCGGTGGGTACCTACCGGATAATGACTTCGAATTATAAAAAAATTCAACATATGAAACTTCGATATACTAAAATAACATGTAAGTCCAATACTAAATGATCGGGACTGAAAAAAAAAATTCGACATACTGAAACTTTGAGATACCGGAGTTCGAGATAGCAAGGTTTAACTGTATAGTGTATATATATATATTACAGAAACTTTTATTGTTGAATAAAATTATATTATTTTATTTATATTTTTTTTCCAAAAATACTTTTTATTTGTTTATTACAGTTGTATAAACTACCTGCAAAGGGCGCCTACTAAACAATACACTTCTATATTCACTTAATGGCAATGAATTCAATTCTAATCGACACGTATACCTGCTATACTACTAAATTATTATTTTATAGTGCATTCTCTATGCGAATATTCGGAAAATCACCTTAATTATATTAAATATAAATTGTGTATCCAATACTTATACATTAGTCTTTTTTATGTTAACACTTAGTATATTTTATCCAAAACCATAATTTTTTAACACTTTATATACATAATAAGTATCAAATATTTATAATATTACAAATTAAATATTTTATTTGAACATGACTTTGATATATCTAAAATAAAATAAAATAAAAATAAAATTCTATTGCATCAATAGCTACGATTCTTAATAAAATTATAAAATTATTAAATACCATCCACATAATTTTTAATAAATTTTAAAAAACTGAATAAATTATTATCAAATTAATTATATATTTAAAAACTTAAGCTAACAAATAAATCATATAATATAATATTCAGTTATACAAAGCAGAATAATTCAAACATCATTGGAAATTTCCAATTTTTATTTATAATTATTAAACTTTGTATTACATATATTCAATTTATAAATCTAGGAAAATGTAAAAGGATATAGGTACCTTATAATATATTATTTATATAAAAATATAAAATACATTAAAAATTATTATCAGTGCTGTACCCTTAAATTTAATACCTATAGATAATAAATATACTCTAATATAAACTAAAAAATATATTAAATTACTGTATAAAACACAGAGGACAATTGATATAAATCCCAATGTGATTATGTTAAAAATAAATAACAAAAAACTAAATAAATGTTATAATAGTTAATTGTTTTTATCGTTTTGTCGACATTGTAAATATTAGATAGTAAGTAACTATTATTTGATAGAAATTAAATAAAAAATTAATAAATTGTGAAATTTGAAGTAAAAAATAGTATGATTAATTAACAAAATAGTCATGACAAACAATAGAAAACTTTTTAACGCTGTAAAAACAATTTACCCTCGTCACGCATCGTGTATTTGATTATTCACTAAAGTATAATATTAGATTTACAGTTAAAATATTCAAATTTTAGTGTCACCCTAACCATTTTTTAAAGCTAAATACTTCATTAAAAAACTTAACTTGAATACACACTCATGCTCGCGTGCACTTACGTGTACATTGTAATTTTATTTTTACAGCAATAAAAAATATGAACAAACAAAGAAAAATATATACCCCTAACAATAAAAATAATAACCATGATAAAATTCCTATAACTTTAAATATTATTATATACTCCATAGCCCATACGTTAAAGTTAATTTTGAGTACTGAATACATTGCGAATAAACTTAATAGTTATTATATTAAAATCTTCAGTCGTATATGTTATGAAAAAAAGTTTATAAAAATAATAACTCCGAGTGTAAATTCCATAAAACTCTATCCAACCCTTTACATTTTTACATCGACGCACGCAGAAATCACGCTTCGACAAAATCTAAAGAGATTTCACGTCATATTAAATATGTGTTAGCAGTAGTTGCTTGTCATAACTATATAAATCACTATCTACTGTAGCGCACTAGAAAAATATCGAGAAAAATACCTTATCAATGAATGTGAATATCACCTCGATGGTTTAGTGTTTGAATCACAGCAAAGACGAAGATGACGACAAAGACGTACAATCGGTACACATTTACCGGACTTGAACACGCGCGTTGTGGTAGAGCGGGGATTTGTGTATGTGGTGCGTACGCCCGGAACGACGATGAGGACCCGCCACCAAACGACGGACACGACAGCGCTATTGAAAAACCGCGGACGTCGAGCTTTTCCGATTGGTGGCGGTGGTGGTAATGCAAAAATAGCGTTTACCAACATAGTTGCCATGCACTCAAAACCCGAACTCGACCGATTAATTGCACTATGTAATCATATTACTCTTTATATATTTCTTATTATTTTTTTTTTTTTTATAATTATTATTTTAAGTTATACCATTTATTTTAGATACAATAAAAAAATAGTCTGGACGCAATCAACCTATTCTTTCATATTATAAACATAAGTCATAAATTGTAAGCACACTTAACATGTCAATATTTGTAAAAATTATAATTTATTCTTATTTATATTAATCTAATGCAGGCTAAAAACCTTTGATGTCGAAGCCTTAATAAATATAAAAAAATAATAATAATAATAATAATAATTGTTCGTACACAAACCGCAATAACCATGAAATCTTTGAAATTAATATTCGCAACAAAAGTAAAAAACACGCTGATACTATTATTATTTCCTCAATAGTAAAGTGATACATATTTTATGAACATCTAACGAAAAATATATTACTTCTAATCTTGCCACATAAAACAACGTATTGCCGAAAAAATATTTTTCCCGAAGAGAGAAATTGTACTAGGGAACGCAAATATATTTGATAAACAATGTATGCCACTCATTAGACTTAAATCATTATTTCATCATTGCACTACCCAAACTTAGTCACTAGGTATAGCAATGGCAGATGACATCTTATACTCATTGTATTTACTTTATATTTTCATTTGTACTGCATGTTTTTGTCCTAAATGTATTCCTACCACATCGAGACTTATAATTCAATCAAAAAGTATGTAAGATAACAAATAGATAAGATTTTTATATAGAAATAACAGTGTACAAATACGGTTTACTTGTTCAGTTCCTAAACATGACACTAACACTTCCCTCGAGAGCACTTCGAACATTTAGAACAAAATATAACGTAAACCTCAGCTTTCAACTTTTCTCTATTAACAGACTTGGGCTTTTAATTTTTACAATATTACAAATTATAACCCTCTGTAGAATATAATGTTTGAAAATATTAAAAAAAATATTTATCATCCAACCTGGTTTCTAATTCACCAATCAAACTTAACTTCTTTTATTCTTTAATATAAAATATTTCTTCGATTTTCAGCTTTTTAAAATTTTTAAATAGCTTAAAATAATTAAGAAAAATACTTTAAATAAGCTTAAAACTATGTTTTCAAATAATTATATTTTTACACCATATAAGATATAGGTAAGGAATATCTTGTAAAATGGAGTTGATAAACACTTTTTTAGAAAATCTGAAATAATCTACTTTTTCTAAATTGTTAATCTAATGATCTTTTTTTAAAAACTTAGTTGATGCAACTAAATGAATTTGTATTAATAATTTCTATGTTATTAATCTATATTATATATATAAACAATATAGTCCATGAGTGGCCAACTTGCGGCTCTTATCATATCCGAAGCGGCTCGCGTATTATTTATAAAATCAAAATTTACTTATTACTATGAATTTTAATTACTATGGTGTATCTTTGAAAGGAAGGACATACTCGAATATCAACAACTTCGTACCTATGATGTATAACTATATCAATAATTGTATGTGAATATTTGTGAATATAATATAATTATTAATTTCTAAGTATGTATATATTTATACATGCAATTATATTAAACATAATATTACAATGTTATGATTGTATTGAAAGGTGCTTATAATACAAATAAACATATTTTGAAAAAATATATAATAAATAAAAAAAAATAACAATTTTATCCCCCCCCCCCATACATACACATGCATAATCAAATTACGTAACTATCCTTAATAATTATTTTATATAATATGAAATATTTAGTTAAATATTTATTTGTATCTTTATCAGTAAAAATTATAATATTAATTACTAATTTTCAAAATACCATAGCACATTTATCTACAAAACCTACTTTTATAGAATTTATAATACTTTGTAAATTAGTACATAATATTTTGGTTTAATATTTTCTTTTAAAAAAATCATGGTGTTTATATTTTATTATAGACTGTAGTGCTTCTCTTTTTTATTGTGTTTAATGTTAATTTTCATATCTTCATATTTTTGGCATTCTATTATGATATACTATAAAGCTTAAGTAGCCAATACTGAGTACTTAAATAACTATAATTATAAAGTTTATTTAATAGATAATTGTAGTTTTTAAATAACTTTAACGTAAGTCATCTAAAAAAAAAAAAACAGGTAAGTTAAAACCTAAGATCAAATATTATGTATGTCTGCCGCATATATAATCATCAACAACGCGCCACCGCGCCGTAGTTTCACTACCTATATACTACAATATAATATACACACGAGATATTCAAAATATGTGAGATAATGTATGTATTATTCATATTATAATAAAATGTATATTATTATGTACATACAATACATCTCATAATATACTATAATACCTAACCGATGAAAACATGTTTTATTTACACTACTCAATAACATAAAAAAAAAAATTCTATTCTGGAAAAAAAGATAAGAATTGGATGAAATACACCGTATATTTTTCTGTAAGATTTCGTTCCAAATTTAATAATTTATACAAGCAACAAAATTATACATACTTGCGAGTATTAATTGAAAATCATAAAAGAGGATAAATAATAAAATATGTTTGAAAAATTAGTTAATCAACGTTGGTTCCCAAAATTAAAATGATATAATAGTTGGATTTTTTAGGATATCCCGAGTCGAGTGCATCCAATTTTTAATTTTTACTTTTTTCATAGCCAGAGTATGTCTGCAGTCTTATTGACAAATTATATTGAATAGCTCGAAAGCGTACTTAGTTCACATGCAAGAAAATGTCATACATCGAAGACAATATGAATCAATTTTAAAATAATAAAATATCAAGACTAGATTTTTTCAAAAGAATGGCAATCATACACCAGTCTATATAGACTATAGATATATTAAAACAAAAAATAAAACTTTTCTTTAATAAAAAAAAACACTTTTACATTAATTAGTACATTCACCCAAATTCAAAGGTGTAAATTAAAATAAAAGGTTTTATCATAAATTAGAATCAAAAAATATTTTTGAGGTTTTTTTTTTATCATATGGCGCCGCTTATGTCCGGGAGTAGGCCCGAAGGTTATAGTTCGGACGCCTATTTGGCAGAATTTTTAGTGGGCACCCGTAGGTTTCTGCCATGCCCGGGTGAGGGGCGGCGGCTTCTCTCTCTCCAGACACCGTGACTGCCTGAAGAATGACGCCGCCCGTGACCGAGATTCGAACCGGCGACGGTGCGCGACGCAACCGCCGCCTTAGTCCGCTCGGCCACTTCACCCCCCATTTTTGAGGTGTAAACCAGTTAATCTCTTCGTGGTTCATCCCGGGTGGGAAATGGTTAATAAAATTTAAATTTTAATTTTAATTTTAATCTAACTCCGATAAATGTACATAAACATAGTGTTAACTCCTTTAAACGATAATGTATTACTGTTGACTCCTACAAAATATGATAAAAAAGTGATAGCGCTCGTACCACCGTAAAAATATATAGTCTTACAATATATTAATACATAATATCATACAAATACTATACCTACTAATTACTTTCGCTGTCTATCAACAATTTGTGCTGTAAATGCTCTATTCAAATATTCGTATTTTATATATTTATAATTCTTAAGTCATGATAATTTTTAACTTTATAAGCTTTTCAACTCTAAAACCGTGAATTTAATAATATTACCCTTTTTCAGGTAAAAATGTAGGAGATGACAATATCTTTGATTTTCTGGTAAAAATGTAAAAATATTATTGGTGTAGGAGTTTATATTTGGCCAATGAAGAAACTAAAGAAACTATTAAGCCCAACTGGTTCAAAAACTTACTTGCCCGTGTCAATTGCTTTAAATCACATTGATATATCATCCAATATTTTTTTTTTTAATTTATTGTTTTTTATGCCTTCTTAAATTAATTGTATATGTTTCATTGTTTCAATATATTATTATGTACATAGCGGTTGCTTAAAATCGAGGATGATTTTACTGATCATTTGGAAGGAAAATACTGAGCTTAAATTAGCAATTAATAATTTTTTCTTCCATTGCTTTCGGAATGATTGCTTGTCAAAACAATCACGTGGTTTTTTTTTTTTTATTCAATCCCCAAAACACGGTTGTTATCCTTATCACCGCCATGCTACACGTTTGATACCATAATATTAGTATTTGAATTTTGTATCAGACATCGTGACCATAATATAATTCACGTTTAATGTCTTATTTTTTTCACTGGATTTTACATCGGATGCAAAAAGCGCCACAGCCATCAGCATGAACATTTCCATAAACTTAGCGTCAAAGAAGACCAGGCATGCCGTTCTGAAACCTTCATCCAATCCGCCGATTATTTTTACTCCTGGTGAAAAAATTAGAGACCAAACAGGATTTATGAGGTAAACATTTGTATACACTTATACATTACTTTTTTTGGAGAATTAATAATATAAAAAGTATGAACTATCTCATAGTATAATCTTTATAAATTATTACACAAATAATTCTATTAATATAATAATATTAAACATTAAATAAGAAAGCTTACTATTTGGGTTTTATACATGTATTAAAATATTAATTAAGGTATTTTAGTATGTTTAATGTTATCATTATTATAAGGGAGATTACATTTACCTACTAATACTGCCTTTTCTTACTACCTAAAGTTTATTTATATTATATCTGATCTATTATTTAAAAACTATTTTAATAAATTGTATAAACTATTACTAATATAGAGGTCATGGAACTTATGTATCGGCGGGATCATTAAAAGCAACTGTTGCAGGAGTAGAACAGAATATAAATAAACTAGTCACAGTTAGTCCATTGCGGTGTCGATACAATGGAGAGATTGGCGATGTAGTAATTGGCCGTATCACAGAATTGGTGCATAAACGTTGGAAAGTAGATATAAATGCTAGATTAGATGCTGTGCTATTACTAACATCTATTCAACTACCCGGAGGAGAATTAGTAAGTTATAAATTTAAAAAAATTCTGTAAGTGATGTCACTGATTTTATAAAATTATGTTTATGTTATGTTTAGAGAAGAAGAGGTATGGAAGATGAACAGTCAATGAGAAGTTACTTGAGCGAAGGTGACTTAATTAGTGCTGAAGTTCATTCTGTATTTGCTGATGGTTCTTTATCATTACACATGCGAAGTTTAAAGTATGGCAAGGTAAAAAATTGTATAATTGCTTGTTTTAACAAAACAGATATTTAAACTAAATGTTTTTTTAACAGCTAGGACAAGGAGTATTAGTTAAAGTACAATCTAATCTAATAAAACGTAGTAAAAATCATTTTCATAACTTGTCAGCTGGAGTTAGTGTTATACTTGGTAACAATGGTTACATTTGGATTGAACCAACAAACGACAATAAAGATCCTGTTGGATTTGAAGTTGATCTTCAACAAGTATTTTATTCATTAAATTAAATATATTATATGAATAAAAATATTTAATATTATTCTTTATTATAGGTCGTTGATATTGGTGATAGACAAACAATATCGAGAGTGCGTAATGTAATATTAGCATTATCTTATTATAAAATGCTTATATATGATACAAGTATACAGTATGCATTAGAAGAATCAAACAAATATACTGTAAGTATTAATAGTAAAATATGAATAGAACAGTTTTATTGTAAATATATAATATCAAGTTTTAGTTAATAATATTTTCATAATTCTGAAACATGATTTTTCCCAAAATTTAATTAATGAAAAATATATTACATAAAATAAGTATTTTATTAAAATATAAAATATAATAAAATGAAATATTAAATTGATAAACTATAAACTATAGTTTTGTAAAATATGTCTGTCTTAAAAATATTACTACAATTAATTTAATTGTTTAATTTTAAATTGTTTTTGTAAGGCATGTATCTAGTTAGAATTTAAACATATCAATAATTAAATAATTAAAAGAATCATAACAGAATCTTAAAATCTATAATATACTTTAGAGAAAATATAAATTACTAATAATATCCTGAAATAAATATTTACAAGATAACCAAATGTATAGGTAAATGTTTTCAATGTATAGCAATACCTAATAATTAAAATATAATTTATTTAAAAAAAAAATTAAATAACATATTCCATTTAGATTTAAAATAAATTATTATTTGTATTTTATTTTTATAGATGATTTTATGAATAATAAACCATAAAAAATCAAATCAAAGAAACATTTATTCATGATAATATTTTTAATATAATTTTTATAATTAATTAAAGATTCTCAATATCACAATTTTTACTTATCTAATTTCTGATCTTAAATATAAGCATAAACCTAAAATCTGATTCCAATATTACTAAATCGAATTAACATTACATCATAATTCTATACTTTTGTCATTAATATTATTTACTTGTATCAATTGAATTTTAACATCTATTATAATTAATAAATTACCATGTTGTAATGAGAAAATTAATACAATTGTGTTTTACACTGTATTAAATTTAGGTATGTTTTTTTGTCTTTTATAATAGTTTTAGAATTACTAGGATAAGAATAATAATTTAGGATAAAATGTACTATTTATGAGTTATATAAGTAATGGAAAATAAGCTTAGGAAAAAAAAAAGGTGACAAAAGCAATTTTAGTATTTTACACTAACATTTATATTTTAATTTTCATTATTAGATCTTTCATTTTCACTATAACAATGACAAAGTTTTAAAATTCTGATTAAAGTACACAATAAACATCAAAAACAATTTTATTACAAGTAAATTTTATCGAATATCGGCTTGTACTACTTCCATTTCAATTAATTAAGAATGTCATGTACTTACTTACGCTTATACATTTATCTTGATAAAATATGTATTAAAAATTATTCAATTTTATTTGACACAGTATTTCTATAAAAACTTGAATTATATCTATAGTAATTAATGTCCTCTTTGTTTTATAGGTATCAGATTTATTAACCACAGAAGCTTGTTATGATATTGTAAATCTTACACGCCATCGTTTACAAGCTATGGATGAATAATTAAGGAAAAAGCATAAATACTATAATCAATAATCATATAGCAGAATTTTGAAGTATTTATTTTGAAACTTTTACTTTTTATATGACTATAATAAATAAAAATTTTATACTGTGATATGTTTTCTAAAAATAATTATGAATCAAGTTCAATAAAAATTAAAATTAAATGGTTGACAATATTAAGTATAATAACTATACATTTTAAATTTCCCAATAAATTGTTCCTTTTTTAGTTAATTTATGTTTAAATTGTGTAAGTTTTTTGATTTGTCATGAATGATTTCACATTTGAGTACTCCGACATTCAATATTACATATTTACTAAACATTCATTAAACAACAATTAAAAGCTCTTATATAAATGTCTAAATAATAAACAATCAAATCGTTTAATGGACAGTACAAACTGAAAAAATTTTTTTTTACTCTTTTTTTCTTTTATAAATTCTTATTGAGCATTAGGCTAACATTACAATAAAACTTTTTTTATATTCTATAAAATACCAAAAAAGTATGCATTACCTAATTATTAGTAATTATAGATAAATATCAAATAATCGTGTTCCCATTTGTTAGGTTTATTAGGTTTAATATTTCAGCTAAATTATTAGCCTATTAAATTAATAATTTCTTAATAATATGTAAAATTAAAAAAATGATTCAATTATACAAATATTAATTACTTCATTAAAATTAATAAAATCTAAAAACTATAATATTATATAAGTGAATATATGAAAATAATAAAATTGTGAGCGTAAAATTATCGATGATAAAGAAAATTATTTTCAGGAACTAAATGTTTTTATTAGAATGATTTCCGAAAATCACTTTCAATTTTTAAAATTGATCGACAATACACTTATATAACTAGAATAACAAATAAACCATATAAAGCTGTAAACAATAATAACATGTTAAAATATTTTTCTAAAAAAACAAAGGTTACCAAATGTCATGTATTTAAAAATATAATTATAATATTGTTGACTAGGTAACTACATTGTTTATTAAAATATTATGTACAAGGTGCAACATACAATATATAATTCTCATCTTTATAAAGAAAAGCAATATTACTTGGCTAGAAATATTAAAAAATTAAAATAATTAATATTTTTATGGTACTTTTTGAGCATTATATACAGGAAAATTTGTTACACTACAACTGTATATAACACTCGTTACAATAATTAATATTTAATTATGATAAAAAAAGAAATATAATTTATATTCTGTACGCTGAACATTACACATAAATGATGTACATTAAAAATTAAAAAATTTAAGATTGAATTCTGTTTCTCTCAAATAATTACTACACAAATCAAACACCTATACTGCATACATTATTACTCAAACAAATGTTTATTTTATAGTACTGTGAAAAACGATTTCACAAAAGTATTCACCATACTCATATTCCCTGTCAGACTGATATAGTAATTATTATAGTAATATTATATACAAAATAAATACTAAATGCTATATCTTTGCTAGCTATATATGTCTATGACATATACAACAGAAATTCATTTTTATATTTGCACCCCCAATAATGTCCATGGCGTTATTGTGTTATAACATCGCTCTAAAGTACTTATCTAAATAAATTGGTGTTGTCAGCCACTTATCAGTCTCGCTAATAAATATTATAATTTAAACTTTGTTGTGACATTTTATATTAATTCTCAATGAACTCTGACTTAACAAAATGAAAGTTATTTTATAAAATATAAACAATACATATGTAAAACTATATCCCCATGTCCGATGAGCGTGTCTTGGTAGTAAATAATATACTACTACATGAGTGCGCACTTCTCTCGTATCTTACGGCCGCGCATGGACTTTTTTTCTGGCTGTAACGATATGTTCCTATTCTTCTCCAGATTGAGAAGCTCCTGAAACAGCTCCTTGACATTATGGTTGGTCTTGGCTGACGTCTCCATGAAATGACAGCCCCACCGTCGAGCTTCAGCATCACCTTCTTCGGCTGAAACCTCTCGAGTGTCATTCTCATCACACTTATTACCAACCAACATGATTGGTATTGATGGAAGCTCCGATGCACCTTTAGTCTCTTTGATGACCTATCAACAATTTATTATTTTAATCACAAATAATATTTTTTATTTGGATTTAAAATTTATGATAAACTGACTATTACATATTACTAGAACAATGCTGAACTAGCTACAAATTAAATTTTTTATGGATTCAGAATATAAATATTTTTTTACTTTTATTCAAAAAATAATCATTTTGCATTTTATTAACACTTAAACTTTGTAATAAATTGTATACTTTGTGTTATTTCTTATTACTCTTTCTGATCTTGATATTAACAATGGTCAATAGATAAATTTATTGTAATGCTACAAGTCTGGTAGGTACACACATTTTTTTCTTATCATACTAGGTATAAATAAATAAATATCTAGAATTACAGAAGCATAAAACTTTATCAGTATGTATTAGCTTAATCTCCCCCCCCCCCCATACACTAAAATAACATAAACTGTCTTAAGTGAATTATATTTGAATCTACCTATTATTGTCCGAAGACTTATGGGCAAATATACATAAACCGCTTAGAGAAGTTGTCCTATTCATATTCGTAATATGTAGGTACCTAAACACGCCTGCCTAGTACCTGTCTTCCTCGAATAACGAATTGTACAAACAACATTTACAAGCAATGTTGTTTTCCCGCGGGGACGAGAAATGAAAGCAACCGAAAACCTTTCATTCCCCTCCTTTCATACGCCTTTAATTCAATCGATAAGCATGCACTAGTTTTTACTTTCTAGTTTCCACCTATGTCATAGTACCTATAGATATTTGCACTGTTTTCAGTCTTCTGTGAAAAAAAAAATTGAAATTTGGAATACAATTATTGGACTTGGACGTATTGTACCACGTCAATCTATCTAAACGATTTCGGCCGACATACACATAATAATATAGTCTAACCCATCGGAATTCATTTATTTACACAACGAAGGTCAAACGATAGCACGATAGCACGAAACCACGTTTATGGGCAATTTATAACTGCACAAAAATATCTGCATGTTACAGTTACCACGACAACGACGGGTTGACTTTTAAATTTGGTGGAATAACGATATTAAACCGCAACTTGATTGATATCGATTCTCAAAATACCTATACATATCGGCCGTATTTTATAATAGATACCTACGACCTATCTATAAAGTTATTTAAGCTAGCATGTGTCTTCCTTTAACGCGGCTGTTATTGAATAGCCAAACACACATAAACTAACTTAACCTGCCGCGCTATTTATCGGTGAGAGAAATATTAATTATTTTGGTCGGACAGTTGTCTAATGTCTTATTGCCGCCAATGTGTCTGTGTACCTACGATATGGTACCTATAACAAAATATGTAGACCGCAACCAGAAAACGTTACATTTAGATCGTTTTAAATTTACCACGTGTCAACAAAATAACGATGAAAACTTATAAACTAAACTCAATAACACTGCACAGGACTGTTCATTTTGAATACAACGAATGTCAACGATTTATCATCGACAATGGCGACGATCACTATAAACGAGTAGTGTTACAGATGCAATATTTAATTTTGGAGGGCAGTGCCGTGGCGAACGATAGTAGTCCGTAGGATGTAAATTTACGGGTTATCGATATTTGGATATATTATGTACATAAAATTTGTCTTGTATTTTAATGTAAAAATGTCACTGTCTGTTGATACTTCCTATTTCAAATTTTATTTTTGTGCAATACCGTTTGAAACTGACAGCCCAGCCAATGATTCATGCAGATAAGTAACATGTTGTTTAAATCTGGGGTAAGCAATGTATGTTATGTATGTGTTGAGTTTTGATTGTTGCGCGTTTATTTGTTTTGTTTGTATTAAAACACATGAATTATGAAATAAAAATGCTAAGATTTTCAACTTTAGAAATAGTTTTCAATATAAAATTGGATCTAAATGGTACTTGAGGAGGAGAGGGTAAAAAATGAAAAAATCTCAGTATTTTTCATAATAATGGAAGAAGACAAAACAAAAGAAAATAAGAAAGAATGGGAATTTCTTTGTAAAACCAATTTTTGACAAAATAGATTTTGTTTTTTATTGTGATTCAAAAACAAAAAACCGTAAATACCTGCTTGAAATGTTCAAAAAATATTTTTATTATTTTTTGTATATATTAAAATTTTATATGAAATAATTTATTAAACATGTCTAAGACATTCATTATTTTAGAAAATACTAACGTTCTTGAAAATATTTATTTTGCATAATTTTAAGACGTTACAGTAACAAAACAACAATATAAATTTTATTGATTATTATTATCATACATTTTTTTTTAAATTATTTTTAATGATTACATCCATTTTTAATTTTATATTTTGAAGCAGGATATTATTCCAAATATTTTGATCTATTAAAATCGAATTTTTAGTTGGTACCTACATTATTGGTTGTTATCGTCGATCACATCGGGTAATGTATTCCATTAATTAATTAATTAATAAAAATATAACCATTTTTAAAATTATATCATTGTACTGAAATTATCGTATTAATCCAAATCCGTTTTTTATACAATTAAATATTCCAAAAAATATGCTTTAGAATAAAAAATAAAAAATGATAACGATCAAAAATAGTAAAACATAATTTATTTAGAAAAATGTCTTTTCGTTATTTAATCTCTTAAAATCTCTAAAATAAATATTTTTAAAACGTTATTAGTTTAAGAAATAATAAAGAAAACCCTAAAAATAGAACCAATAAATCTATCACCATGTTTTTATAAATATTACTTTGTTATAATTTAAAAGTATTATTCATGGGTTGGTATTTAAACTTTAAACGTACCTATATTATTTTATTTTATAAACATAATGATATTTTCAAATGAAATGCTTTCGACACTAATTAATTCAACAGTTAGTATTACTACTAGACAATAGTAAAATAAACTATTTTGAAGTAATATAAGTATATCAAATTAAAAATTTGATAATGGGCTGACAGACCATTTTTTGTTATAGATGACATGACACGTTCAATTTAAATTTAGTAATAAATCATTGTATGAGATGATAATTGATTCTGAGCGAAGACAGTACAATTTTATGATATTAAAGATTTCCAAACAATTATTATTTAAAGAATAATATTTAAAATTATAACGAATGTTCTTATTCCTCTCTTCTACATTTATTTTAAATTGTAATGAGAATTTTCAATTATCACCTCCCAAAAGTATAAACTAGATCTAATTTATTACCACAAACCACCCCTGAAGTTGATGATCGGAGCATTTTTCTACTAGAAAAAGTGCCTTTGCTAAAAAAAAAAAATAAAAAATAAAAACACCCATTATTATAAAATCAATACATTCTTCGCTCTACCGAGAATCTAAGCTAATAATTTGTATACCTACATCACTGACATGAATTTTATTTATAACAGGTACCTTTTTCTCAAATTTCATCTCATATTAAATAAGAACAATAGTAATCCATCATTTTGGTTAGTTTTACGGTGTATTCAATAGGATGGATGGTAGGTTTAATGCGAATTGAAAAAATACGTCATGAATCTGATATGCACTATAACTTAACGCATAAAGGAAAAATAAAATATTTATTTTACTTCAGAAGAAACTTCATTAAATTTAAGAATTACGGATGGATATGTATTTTTTTTAATGCTATAATTTATTTAATTATTATTACTTGATGTTCATTGAGCATTATTTTTTATGTACAATCAATTCTTATCATTATTATTATTCGAATTCATTAAATTTTTATATTTTTATACGTCAAACTTTTTGAACCACTGAAAATAAAATACCATATAGGTAATAACGAAATTCGAATTATTTAATTTTTGTTTCTTTGAAAGATAATAAACTTATCAACTTTCTGTTTGCCAAATCGCTAAGGGAATTTTAATTTCGGGCGTGACAAATATCTTAGCGACGATCTTATAAACGTATACAATAAAAATATTGGATCAAAACCAAAAAAACCCCAAATTAAAATACAAAAATTGAACATTATAAGCAATATGAAAATTTAAATTCATATTCTTATACAGTGAACATTTAAGCAATTAACTATTTGATAAAAGTATTAATATAGACAATCGACAAAATAATGATTAAAATTTATAAGATAGCTTATAGATTATGCTCCGATATTCGTTTATTATCATTATTTCATTTACTTAACATTCATAATTCATATATTCTGTTGGAGTGTCTATAGTCGTGTGAGTTCACCGCGCACACAATATTTTATAAATGTATTTATGTTGAATATGTTTTTAATAATATAACACTTTACACTAAGGCCATATTACACGAAAATGAGGGTGTGGCGTGGACCTGGGCCAAGATGTATGTTCAACAATAATGTACATAAAAACGATTTTTGTTTTAATGTAGGTATATACTTAATAAGTTTACAGGCATAAAAAACATAATCTTAATTTTATCGATCACCGTTGGAACTTATTTCTACGCGCACCGCGCAGTCACGCGTGCCCAAATAACATGATTTGCTTAGTGTTGGCATTTTCCGCAATACGCATTACCCTACATCACTACAGTGTATAACATATTAATATAGGTATATTATAATTTATAACATGGTATGATATTAATACTTAATAATAATAATAATAGTAAACACTTTATGTACGGTTTACCTATTTCCTACATTCCAAGATTGGTATAACACTATATTATAGAATATCACAAAGTTATAGACTCGCATCGCAATTGTACATATTGACGTAAAACGACGATAACGATCCAGCGAACATGTCTGACCTATATCGCGTGTACGATTATTATGATATAATATACTGTATAATCGTGTGAGCATACACAAAAAGACTGGTATAATGGTATATGTATAATGGTATACGTATCAACTGAATTAGTTCTGCGCAAAAACCAAAACCGCACATCTACCATCTACGTATATTTACCTAGTTCTATTATGTCGAAGATGTTACAATTATTTTGAATTAATTTCGTAGTAGATAATATCATCATCGATATTTAAATATTATTTACTAAGTATAGAATCTTCGAAAACTTAGATAAACATAACTAAAACAGTCCACTTCGTCTTGACACCAAGAAAATGGCCGGTGGCAACTACATTTTCTTAAGACAGTTGCTGCACATCTTCGCGTGTCCTGTACTCCTGTAGTATTTTTGTACAATAATTTTAATTCGTCAAATCATACTTCTGATATATTTTATACTAGATGGTTACACAATTATTGCCTTAACTTGTTAACCTAACCAAATGAAATTGCAAAGTTGAAATCTTCAAGATTTTTGTGAACTTGTTAAGACTAGGTATAAATGTAAATAAGTCCAATCGATGAATTCTGATTACACCGTTAATTTGAACTCGTTGAAATACGTGTGTTTAATGATACAATACATTTTAAAATCATGGGTGGTGTGATAAACTTAATTTAGGCCGAGGAGTTTTCACATATAAATATAGTTAGAGTGATATCGTTCATTGACACCTAGGGAAAATCCTGTACATTGTGAATTATAATACTATATATTTTATTTTTATTGATTATTTTTTTCTTGTCTATCACCCGACAAAATGAAGCCGTAAATTAGTTAAGGAACCTTGTTTTTTTGATAACTTTACAAAACATAAGACAGTAAACGTACATATATTTACTATTAGTAGTATACATGAACAACCGGGGTACTAGGAAAATTTTGTGGCTTGGCTTTTAGTATTACCAATTACCTGGTTGGTTAGACAGCTGTCGGCTATAGTCTATATGTAATAGATTTATTTGTATAATTTCATTTGGTATTAGTTTTAGAAATTTTAACTTAACACTGTGTAAACTTGTAAACAAATTAGTTACTTTAATAGTCAAATATGCCCAAATAAAGTTATATGTTGAGGAGTTTTTAAGCTACCATAGAAATTAATATTTATCTATTAAAAAAATAACATTGATGGATAAAATCCGCGAAAAGCTTATTTATTATTTAACATCTCCTCCCTCTTAAATTGCGTATGTGTTGACATAAAGATATTATCAATAAATATGACCAGGACTAACAAGATTTTCACTCTGAAATGTTTACCCATTCCGACCCCACTAATACTTCTATATATCTACTACTAATAGAATATACTTTCACACCGTTGCCTCAAACATTTTGGTGTAGTCTTTTGGGACGTTCAATTTTTCCACGAAATCGACCTTACGTTTACCACCAGTATAATAATGTACATACCTACATCAATTTTCAGCTTTTAAGCTTTGATAACCGGTTATAATAAAAAAAATATTACGTAGAGTTATTGATAATTGGCTGTCATTTTGAAAATAATTTTAAATCTAACTAAAATAATCAAAATTGATTACTAATTAAAAAATATTAAAGAGAACATATTCAAGTAATATACTTGTAAATTAAATAAATATAGAGGATTTTATAATGTTATTATTTTATTATATAGTAATTAAAGCAAGCATATTTATAGGTATATATAAAAATAAATATTAAATTTAAATTATATTTACACAGAATAATTCACCACGTATTGTGAAAATATTATTTACGCGCGATTTATTATAAAATTTATCAATCATTACAATAACGAGTTATTGGGTTACCAAAATCTAAAAATTAAAATTGTTCTAAGTGGAAAACGGAAATTTACCTAAACCATATTATATTATACTGGTGGTAAACGAAAAAGTTGATTTTGGCGAAAAATGGCGACGCCCTTCTCGTTTTGCCACATACCCATAACCCGGTGACGCGGCACCGATGTTACGTTCAACAATATGACACTGTAATGCATGTACGCACCTGCCATATCGGCCGGAGTTCCTCAAGTGACTGCCTGGACGTGCACGAGTACACTAATATGAACGCGTGGCCTTTGGACATGGACAACCGTTGCATGGCGGGGAATTGATGCGACCCCGTCGTGTCGGTGATCTGCAGCGTGCAGATGTTCTTGTTGCAGCTAATCACCTGTCGGTACGTGTCCTCGATGGTCGGTATATACGATTCCCGGAACGTGCCCTTGACGAACCGGAGCACCAGCGAGCTTTTGCCCACGCCACCCGCCCCGAAAACCACCACTCGGTAGTCGTTGCTCTGTTCCGGCATTACGACGTCGTATCGTGGCTATTGCAGCAGACTATTATACGTGCTGGACCTGTTCGATTACATTGATACGAAAGTCATTATTATTATTAGGTATTATTAATTATGAATAAACTATGAATACGATATGATTTTTTTTTTGAATGATTTATTAAAATATTTGAGATTTATTTATACTTTATACTTTAGGTCTTGTGATGATAACAATTATTAGTGTACTTCAAATGAAAAATTGTCCACAACAAATCATTCAGTAGACAATTCAAAGTCAAAATCAAAATTCAAACTTATAGTATCTGAGTTACCTATTTAACTTTGTATACTAAGCTTATAGAGTACTGAGTCCACGATGATGAATTCAGAAGATACCTGTGATGATTTGCACATTTCAATAAATAATTGTTTATCTATCAATGCTTATAATTATTATTTTTTTTTTTTTTTTAATGGTACAAGTATAATAAATACTAGATTCCGTGATAAATCTATTTATAAAATTAAATATAAATAATAAATATATTAATAAAATCATTTTTAGGACTTTTATTCTTAATATAAATATATTAATAATCGATGTACGTCTTTTATCACGTATAAGTATAATACTTAAATTTTCTATATCCAATGTGTATAAAACAATATATTATGACGTTCATTTTATGTTATCAAAAAAAAAAAAAAGGAATATAGTTATACCAGAATATTATTCGTTCATTTTTATCAATATCACACTATATATCTGAATTAACTACCTTATACTTTTTGAAATTCTATTGTTTTACTTCGAATTTTATAACCGTAGATGTCAAACTGTCAATTGCATCGAAATACCAATGATAGTTAGGTACTAGGTCAAATTCGATGTTCCTGGTAAATTATAGGTCTTGCTATTAAACCTAAAAACTGTTAAATTCCCATACAGTGTTGTAATTTTAAATTTTCAGCTTTAATATTAATTACTATGATTGATGATATCAATTTCAAATATAAATGTATGTATTTAACTGAAGCTTATGTACTTAGACTAATTAATACAAATCACAAATACTATATTGTACCTGTACATAATATATATATATATAGATACTAAAATATTATCAATTAAATAAAAATCAAATTATATATATTTTTATCAAATGTGTATACCTATATTATGCAGTAATAAAGTATTTATATTTTAATTAATTATTATGTAAGTATCTACTTATTTTGTATCTTATATTTATGTAATACAATTTTAAGATAAACCATGCTTACTTTTGAAATAAATCAAAAGAAAAATATTAACCACATTCAATTTTTTTTTAATTATATAAACCTTAACAATATTCACAGCTAGTGACAGTGTTAATCTATATAACCTAACCAGATAATAGTATTATTAATAATAAATCATTATCTCATTAAAAATCAATGATTTTATAATTCAATAAAAAAAAATCTTACGTTATTTATCTGGCGAGATTTTTTTTTTATACAAATTATAATTAATTTAATATTTTTTTAAACTTAGTTAAAAGTTTTGACATGTAACTTTCATACGCAACTTGAAAGAAACATGCTCATTTTTAAAAAGTTATAGAAGTTAACTTAAATTTTTATATTTATTTTTAACAATTAAATATTATTTTTTTTTTTATTAAAAGAACAAAAATAAAATAATAACAAACTTTAAACAATTTTAACAATGAAAAAAATTATCTTGGTATTTATCTCGAATAAAAGTAATTTTATAATAAGCAATTAATAAATAAAAAAAAAAGTGTAGGAATAAAAATAAAAATATGATTGATTAAATATCAAACTCAAGAAGGCACTATAAAAAAATTATTTTCTCAGTAAATAAAATACAATATTATAATATTATTACTTATTTTTATGAATCATTAACTCAATTATTATATACATAAAAAATATGTTTAAAGGAATTTAAATAAATATCTCAAATCCATAAATATTACGTAATTAAAATTTTTATTAATTGTCAATATTCTTTTAATAATAATTATGTATATCAAACAAAAATATGTTATGAATTATGATATATATTCTATTATTGATTAGTTTAAGTTCTTAGTATATTAAATCACACTCATTATTAATACGTTTTTAAAAGAATTATAATTTTAAAAAAAAATTTATATTTTTATCAGTTTTGTATAATGAATAATGACCGATAATTAATGATATTAAAAATAATCTTGGACTAAGATAAAAGTTATTTATAAAGGTGTATGGTTCTTCGGTATTAAGTAGTAATCAAAAATAATTCTCTTTCTTGATCAATATGTTTAAAATCCTTCCTATTGTGTAACGCCGTTGTCAAAGTCAACTGGATGATTTATTTGAAATAAATCTATTGGTCCATTACAGTAAATCGTTTTTTTTTTTTTTAAAAGACGATGTAAATGATTATATATTCAGAATCAGTTAAATAAAATAAACATTTAAAAAGTTTACTTATTCTTTAAATATAACAGATTTAGTACTCGTATGAAATTCAAGAATTAATTATGTACTTATATGTTACTCTTAACTGTTAACTTTATTACAGAGATATAAATTTTTAATTTGATTTCAATTACCAGTGTTCGTGTATATCTATAGAGTAAATTTCAATTAAAACAATAAGAGTAATTTTGTACATTTTAATATACAATCTGTAATAAACTACAATAATAAAAAGAAAATTTAATTTAATTTAAATATAATTATTTTATTTTATGTAAATAACACAATATCATTTAAATTTGTAAAGACATTATACATTAAATAAACATATTGTTAAGATTTAATCTTTATAAATTGACGTCTTTCTTTAAAAAGAATAAGAAATTGTCAAATTAATATTAATTATTCAACGTTCAAATAAATAAAATAGTTAAGTTTGAAATAAACAGCTGAAAATCGTTTTGATTAAGGCGACTAAATTGTTTTATTGACAAACGACCGGAGCCACATACAGAAAACAAAGGAAAGCCAGAAAATATTCCACTATAAAGTATAGAAGCGTTGTTTTTTTCTTTTTGTTTGCGAAGAATGTATTGAAAGTTTGCATTTTGTTGTTTTCCAGTAACCCACCCACTCGTAAACCTATTCATTCAGTTATTCAGGTAAACTTTCATCAAAATCCGTCAACCTTTTAAATAGGTTATTGGCGGCGCACAAAATAAACAAACAAAATGTGGGTCACCAAATTAAAAAAAAAACATGTCCCTATTGTCGATATACTTATAACACACGTATACATAAAGACGTACGCGAGATGAGGTATTATTTTTTTTTATTTTTCTTATACTTAGACCATGAACTTATAATCGGCTATTTAGCATTAGACATTATATGTATAACATACAATACGCATGTTAATAATACTCGTATATCATGCTTGGTGTATTACGATCAAATGTAAGGAAATCGTGGAATTCTCGAAATCATGGATATTGCCAATACGGCGTGCAGAGGTGTAGCTATAAAATTATTTATAAAATCGTTCTTCTGAGTATAAACTTCACCGACCTTACAGCCGCAAAACAATAAAATATATGCACTAGCACATAGACCATCACCGTCATTCGGTCGGAAACGTCTAATCGCGATCGGAATAATTTTGGCCGCTAACGAATTCCCCCCCCCCCCCCCGAGTACTACCTACATTTCTCGCTATGTCATCGGCGAGAAATCGTTCAACCCCAGGAGATGCATCAACCTATCTGCACACAGCAACTGTACACTCGAACTACCCGACGGACACTTGCACGCGCGTAAAAATTACACGATTTCGTCACTGCGTCCGTCGTTATTATAGCGAGTGTTTGTCGTGTATTTTAGCGTCGACGAAATTCGACACTTATCCCGCGTTCGCCGACCTCCTTAAATCACGCGAAACCCGTTCGAAGTACGCGCAGTTAACGCGCACGCGGTGATCGCCGCCATACGCGACGCGGTCGCGGCGTAACGACATACGTATGACTTCGTATGCAGACAATAAATTAAAATAATAATAATAATAATAATATGTAATATTATACCCCGCCGAGCAGCAGTTCGTGCGCGGAACATTTGAGCGCCACGCACGGCTATACGGCGGGATATACCTACCTACCTACCTACGTATTATTATATTATATTATTATACGTACGTGCACGCGTGTATCGATCGTTTTCGCGACGCATAATATTACGAGTAGAACAGAAAGAAAAAAAAAATAAGAGAGAAAAGACGACGTCTTTTCGGGAGGTGGACGTAATGATACGGTAATTATGTTGGCGCGGACGTTTATATTAAAACGCGTAGTACGCTGCACACACACACACACACTCTCTGGCCGAGTCGTACCGTTTTCGTATATTGTTACGTCTTGATGACGCACAGTCGTGACAGATAGCGAATGCGTTATGATGATGTCGGACGACATGACCTCGTCGAAAACCGCGTAGGAATTTCGTTCGGGCGGGTACGACTACGGTTAGGCGTTGTTGTCGTTAACCTACCTATTTTGTTGGCGGGCTTGCGACGATCGCGGCGAAGGGTCTCTCCCGTAGAACTCTGTGCTCGAGTTATTGTTCCGTTTTGCTTCCGAGACGACGGGAAAACAACAATAAACAACGTCGACTACTCCGCGCGACGCACAACGCAGTAACACCGTTAAAATAATTACTGACCTGCGATCACGTTTCCCGTGTCTACGGTCCCACTGGCGCGTCCTCTTAAGACGACTATCGGACGCGAACCACGGGCGGGCGTACCGCGGCCGTGTTATTGTAATCACAGATGTTCGCCGCGTCCGCTATCGTCGTCGTCGTCGTCGTCGTGATCGCCGTCGCCGTCGTCGTCGTTAACGTCGCCTCCGTCGGTTTCGTCGTGACGCCGACGTCCGCCGTAGCAGCAGCTGCCGCGGGGGAGTTGGTCGTATCAGTCGTCGTCTCGGTCGCCGCGGCCGACGCCGCCACGTCCATAACCCCTAACGCAGTACAGTTGTGATCGGCGCGTGGCCAGACGGCGGCGGACGACGGACTGGGACACGCGACTAGTACTCTACTGCGGGGTACACGCGCCTGCGACGACGGACTACGCGGTGACCGCGGGGCGCGAATCGGAACGCTGGCGGGCCGCGCGTACGATATCGCGGCGGCTGGCGAGGGCACGATATAATAATGTATAGGTATTATGCGATTATCGCTCTGTCGTCGCGCGATACTATTTTTACTACGGTTATATATTATTTTACACGTTCTCGGTGGTTCGGCGACGAGATCGCGCGCGCTCGCGTGAACGACAGTTTATCGTACGATCCGCGTACACTGTGTGTGTTGCGTGTTATCGCATTATCAGGCGCGACCGTATACTACTGCGTGTGCATGGCGGACGACCCGCTCGCCCCTCTCGGCATCAGTCGGCGTGCGCTCGTCCCGTATGGGATACCGTCCGCGACGCGTTGTTATCAACTTTTGCGCGCGTGACGTGCCCGACGTGCGTTGTATTCGACGTGTGTTCGGTCGGACGAGATATTTAATAAAGAAACAAACAAACAAACAAACTGTAATAATAACTGCAACGACGGCGGCGCGGCGGTAGTAGTAGACAGTAGTAATAATAATAATAATAATAATAATAAAAAAAAATAATAATAAAAATAGTAACAGTAATAGTAATAATTTCGAGCACACGGCGGTAGGAGCGCGACGCGTCGACGGCGGTCGTCGTCCTAGTTCGGGGGTTGCCGACGGATTTTATTTCGTTGTTATTATTTTAGATTTTTTCCTCTCTTTTCGCGTTTAACGTTTGCGCCGCCCGCGTGTGTGCGTCGCGCATCGGTTGATCAATACAAAGACGTAGTCCGAGGCGGCAGTAGACTTAGGGGTGCGATTGTGTGTGTGTATGTGGGGGGGGGCGAACGGGGGTAGAAAAGAGCGGGGGTGGGGGCGGGGGGGGGGGGGCTAAACGGGTACGCCGGAACACCCGACTCCGCCGAGCGGTCGACCCGGTCAACGACGTGTACATAATAAACGCAATATGTGTATAATATTATATACATATATTATCTTGCACAGGGTGAATCGCTTGTCCCAACACTCGGCCGCCGTCGCGTACTTTTCCCTGCATTGATATCGAATTTTTTTGCGTTTTTACGTCCTAGCTGGTGGTATACGCGCTTAAAGGCCACGTTTTCGAGCACTAGGACGCTTTGTGGCGTTTAAACATAGACTTTTCGGCCGCGGAGTTATTAAATCGTTTGTTCTTCAAATGAGTTGATGAACGCCATCTCCGGCGGCATCCTTTTATCGCGGTCTCTCGAACCGATATATGCTTTCTGTGCACATTTAAAATTACTAAAAATCGAAGAGAAATAAATCTATTTATATTATGTCTACTTGACTGATTAAAACTGCGATTGACGTAGGTAATACATTTTATAACACTAAATATCGTGTACCTAGAGCGTCGAGCAGAATAATAAAATTCTATTTGCGATGTGTCAAAGTGTTTAGAAAAGAAAAAAAAACGTTCTCGGTGAAAATAAGAGGCGATTCTCGCGAAAATAATAAAACAGTATAATATAGTGACAAGACTGCACTCCTCAAACGTATTCTATTATATTCTATCATATCCGCGCGTTGCACAGTATTAAAATAATACATTCTCGTATTATGACGGATGGAATGCCAGAAACCGTCCCGGAATCGAAATTCAAAATAAAATACCTATCCACGCGTGTAATGATAAGTAACACGATAGGAAAACTACCCTGTATACACGTAGGTTACGTGACGTCACGTCAGTGGAAAAGCAGCAGTAGTAGCAGCAGCAATATCAGTAGCAGCAATGTCAATGATATTATGCGCTTGCGCTCGCCCGCCCGCGACTCCAGTGGCGGTTGTATTATTACGATACACGCATAATATAGTAGCCGTGCCGCCGCCACGAAACAGGCGATTCTCTGCGGCCATTAATGGAGACGAAAATCCTCCCGTTTCTCCCGCCGTTCTTCGCATCATCTGCGGCGGCGCGTCCCGTAAATATCGTAAACTATATGATGTATATTATAAAATGTATATATACATAGGTAATATTATTTTTCGGCGAAAACGAAAATGCTCTTTGAACGAACGCAACCTCGCACGAGTACTATGTACACAGTGCTGTGTCTCCATTGATGATTTTTTTTTATGATTATTATTATTTCACTAGTGCGTAGGTTTTTCACGCTAAACGTAAATAATAATAATATATGTGATGTCGTTTAGAAAAATTTTGAAATAAACATTAAGTGTAAATTATGTTTTGTTCTCGAGACACTATTATATGTATGTACTACGGTGCTTGCTGGTTGCGAGTGTGCTTCTATAGCTGGTTATTCATCCGTTAAATCTATTGTCGTCACAATCGTGTAATAAATTACTATTAAATATTTTACCAATAATTAATAGATAAACATATTTTGTTAAATGCTTTATACCTTTATACAGTATTAACACTAACACAACATAATAATTATTCTGTGGGAGATATAAATATGAATTTTTTACATCACCATATATTATTTTACAATCTATTCTAGTGACTATAGAGTATAGTTATTTTCGTTCGTTTGTTTATTTTTGTTTTCAGTATACTTAGTTTTCTTCTTTAATATAAAATATTAAAAATGATTGTTGAATAAAAACGTTTTATAAATATTTGATATTTTTATTACATACACTAGCAAAAAAAAAAAAAAAAACTAAATTAATATTTACAAATTCCGATTTTTTTTTTTTATTAAATAAAAATCAGTGTCTTAATAATAATCATATTATTAGGTATTTAGGTATGTAGACATACAAAAATTATTATGATATTAAGACAGGCGCCCGCTTGACCTCGCAAACGCGAATGTACCGAGTTTGACTATACATCACGCCGTGTGACGAGTAAATCTCGTCAACAATTTATTATACTTCATTATATTTATTACATATAAATCGAATATTTTGATCGAAATCATCACTTTTTGACTCCATTCCGCGACTTGATTCTTAAAATGTTCTTGATTTTATTAAACTAAAGGTACATATCATAAATTAAATGAAAAATATATAATTAAATACCTACTTTATGTGTTTATTGCCTTTAATGCCAAACACACCATTGTTTCATCGTTCCACAAAACTGCCTTTAAACAATCACTTCCAACCAAAAAATATATAGTTATCAATTTAATTGACGCAAAACCGTGTTTTATCTTTTTGCAATGTCATCTAGTTTTATAGTATAGCGATCAAAACAGAATTCATGTTTTATATTACTAAACTAAAAATGACTTCAAGCTAGTATCAGGTAATTGTTATTTCCCCAGTCATGTAGCTTAAACTTAAATTACGTTATAAAATATTTTACTTTTATTTCCTTATTATAGCGACAATCAATATTTTATTATACAATACAGCTCTAAATAAATTTTAAGCCATTATACATTTGCATTAAAAATAAAATACTTAATATTATTTTTAGATATTATACAAATACCAGACACGTGTAAATATTGTATACGCATTTTACGTATATAATTTACAAAATGATTCATTAATCATTTACACACCATTATTTATTTTAATAATTTAATAAAATTCCAATTTTTAAAACTTTTAAATATATAGTCTGAAGAATAATATTTTCTAACACTAAAATGTTTTATATAATATAAAGTTTAATCTGTGGCTATACATTCTTTTTTTATTAAATGAGTATCAACATTTTCACTGTAAATTATTAAGTAGATAATTTTTTTTGAAAAATTTGTTATTTCTATATTAAAATTCAAATAATTAGTTTCTGGTATGTCTATATGTCATAAATTCAATGACCAATATCCTTAAAAATATTTTTACAAAACTATAAAATTTATGTACGTATTTTACATTTAATCTAACACTTATTATAATCAGATACTTTAAAAATAAATAAAATGTCGATTAATTAATATAATTTTCTAATCGTACTATGCTTCATATTCAACACATATTATCCAAACCCAAACCTATTGAAAAATAGACCTATTATCCTCAGTACACAAACTGTTAACTTCATATAGAATATTTTTATCGAGATATTTTAACGTAGAATCAAAACGCTATGCTAAAATATTAAAGAAGTATCCTGTACAATATCAACTTTTTTTCATATAAAAAAATACTCTTTTTCTTGCAAATTTTTAAGTGAGTCTTTGAAACATTTTTATATGTCTGAATCATAATTCTAATGAATAGTTTTTGTTTATCTTACTTTGTGTACCAAGGATAATAATTAATTAAACGTCAATATACCCCGATAAAAATATTCTAACCATAATATTCTCAACAAAACATCTAAAAATCAAATATTATCCCATTGAAAATAATCCTAGGAAAAATATTTCATAACAGACTATAATCACTATTAGAATACGAAACATATAATTTAGAATATTTTTAAACTGAATAAGCAACTTATAGAGAAAAAAATGCGCAATTTCAAAATTCATATCATAAGGTAAATTAAATAAAGTGAATACGATAGCTTATGATACACGTTGCCATTATCAAAAGAACGATTTACACATATCACTTTGGATAAAGTGCGAGTATTTTAATTACAATCACAACTTTTATAATAGATTTCGCTGATATTAAAGTTTTGAATTATATTTATGCAGAATATTTTGTTATAAAATATTTTTCTGGGGATATTTTTATTTTAGAATATTTTGTCGAGGATATAATGACTATAATATTCTTACTGTGATATTTTGATGTGTCGCCTAACGTTTTATACTTTTATCGCCTAGAGTGAAAATGGGGTGTGGTCAAAGGATGCTAGAGTTCTTTAACGTAAATTTAGGTCAGAAGAATATATTTAAAATTTGATTTCCATTATATAATATAACGCTCAAAAAATGATTAATCATTTCTTAAATATTTAGAACTAATAATTTTGAATAGCATTACGTTATTTAAATTCTTAAATAATTTTTTTAATCATTCTATATACCTTCGTATAGTTCTCATTTTCACATAAATCTTTAAAATTATATTTTAATTAAACTATATTTATTCAAAACAACCTATGTTTTATAGTTATAACATGCCTTAAATAAATATACATAAATTTGTTTTATCTTGATTTTATATTTATGTTTTGCTAGTTCAAATATAAATTACCATTACATAATATGAACATAAAATATTTGTATGACTTAAATTACCACAAAGACAAAAAAGTAGGTTAGTGGATACCGAACTGCTATACATTAGATGTTGAATGGGTCACTATTAAAATTGTTTTAAATTTAAATTCAATGACATATTATTTCATATGAAAAACGATTCTGAAGAAAACGGTTTACCAGCCTATATCACTAAGTTTTTTTGATATTGCTATTTAAATCAATTATTTTACTTTTAATATTTTAGTTAATAAATATATTTTTTTTTCCAAAAATACTGAATTTATTATATTATTAGTATTTAATCATTATAATAATAAATATACCTATACCATATTATATCAACTTAAATAACTCAAAATCATCTTTTTATAAATACTATAAAACTGTAAAATAGATTCATATTATCTAAAAATAGATAATATTTTAAAATAAATCAAAAATCTTATTACATAATATAGTAAAATTCATAATAATATAAAATACATAAATGTTTAAGTTTCCATAAATAATGTTTATAAATTTATTAAAAAATAATTAACG